TACTACAGATGCCTCCCTCTTAGGGAGGGGAGCCGAACATGACGGGGTGTCCACAGGGGGGAGTTGGACCCTGTGGAAGCCCAGTACCACATAAACTACTTGGAAATGCTGGCTATACATTTAGCCTTACAAACATTTGCTAAAGCCTGGGCTACCACACACATTCGGGTAATGTGTGATAATACCACTGCTGTGAATGTAATTAATCATATGGGAACAAGTCATTCCGATTCTTGTAATTCACTAGCCAAAGAAATTTGGGAGTGGTGTATAGCTAGGGACATTTGGGTGAGTGTCGCCCATATTCCAGGTAAACAAAATCTTGTTGCTGATTTTGAATCTCGAAGGAATCAAAGGGAAGCAGAATGGCGGCTTAATAAAGCTGCACTCCAAAATGCTCTATCCAGGTTAAATTTTCAGCCTGACATTGACCTATTTGCTTCCCGCATTAATTACCTTTTTCCGAAGTATGTTTCCTACAGACCAAACCCTCAAGCTTTTGCCATAGATGCATTTTCCTTACAATGGTCTAGACTGGATTTTTACGCATTTCCACCTTTCAGTGTAATTCCCGCAGTTTTGAGCAAAATGCAGAGAGAGGAAGCTCTAGGAGTTGTCGTGTTGCCGGATTGGCCAGCCCAAGGTTGGTATCCTAAAGCTCTGGAGATGCTGAAACAGGAACCAATTTACCTCAAAGCAAGAAGGGACCTACTCCGGTTAATTACCAAGTCATCCAGAGGAAGTACACCCAATTTGGCACAAACTGAACCTCCTAGTCTGTCTCTTATCATGGAAAGTCTAGGTAAATACAATTTATCATCTAGTGCGAAAGATGTCCTTATGGCCTGTGGAGAGAGGGTTCTTCTAAGCAGTACCACACATATTTAAAGCGTCGAATTTCTTGTCTCCTTATAGAAGGCTGGTCTTGGTCACAGTGCTGTAAACACAGCCCGTTCTGCCCTTTTTTCCCCTCCTTATTTTGGAAAACAATGAAAAGTTTGGAGATCACCCTTTGGTTGTTCGTTGCATGAAGGGCATTTTCGAATTAAAGCCATCCCTGCCAAAATACAACGAGATATGGGATGTTCGCGTTGTGTTGGATTATTTGAAGACCTTTGGTGCTTCAACTGCTTTACCGCTTAAGGAACTCACGCTCAAGTTAACCATGTTGCTGTGTCTTACCACTGGCCAGCATGGACAAACTATTCACAAGTTTGACATTAACTATATACAGGACTTGGATGATCGGTATAGAATTTCTGTCCATGAGAAGCTAAAGCAGACTAAATGAGGCAGACATTTAACGCCTATAGAACTATTGGCTTTTCCAGAGGACAAGGAACTTTGTGTTGTGCAACATTTGAGGGAATATATCCATCGAACTGACCCTTTGCGTAAAGATCATTCTCAGTTATTATTAAGTTATGTCAAACCTTTTAAGCCAGTAGCTAGGGACACTGTTTCCAGATGGGTTAAGCAAGTTTTGCAATCTGCAGGGATTGACATAACTAAGTACTCTGCTCATAGCTGCAGGCCTGCTTCTACCTCCAGTGTTAAGGTTAAGGGTTTAAACATTGCTGAAATTATGAAGTGCGCAGGTTGGTCAACTGCGACTACCTTTGCGAGGTTCTATGATAAGCCAGTGTCCAATACTTCAGCTAACTTTGGCTCTGTACTGTTGAATCCAGGTGCCAAGTGATTTTGCTAGCTTGTATTCTTGTTTCGTTTTTGTTTGGGATTTTCTTTCCCTTAATAATACTGTTTTACTTGCATTCCTGGTTCGTGTTACAGGACTTTGAAATCTCATGTGACTTCGTAGTGACGTAGACTGATGACAAGTTAGAATTACATGATTAAACGAGACTTACCTGTAAGTTGAAGTTTGATCGAGATTCTATCTTGTCATCAGTCCGGAACGAAGGAGTCACATGCCCTTATTCCCTCCCTCCCTTCCTCCTTCGTTCCTTTTTTCCTGTACCACTCACTTTGAAGACTGACTGGCGATGCGCATGCGCATCTCATGTGACTCCTTCGTTCCGGACTGATGACAAGATAGAAACTCGATCAAACTTCAACTTAAAGGTGAGTCTCGTTTAATCATGTAATTTTCGGGCATCTTGGCTTAATAATAATATTACCTGTAAGTTGTCTCTTCTTTGCACTGCAAGAAATCGACTTTTGAATGTCTTTGAATAGCCTGAGAATGATGTTTCCGGAACTTAGAACAAATTGCTGTCGAGAGTAATTCAGGCTCACAAAGTTAACGGGGATGACTGAACAAGTTTCAGTATGTGATGGGGAACGCCCTCTTTCCCTCGTGCCGCTCCACTGCTGTCCCAGCTCTTATATACTGTGCGTTTTTAGGAAACTTTCTTTCCTGTGGAAAACATTTCAACAATCTGAATTGAAACATTAAGTCCCTCACATGAGGTTGCCTTCAAAAGGAAAGTAGGTGATTAGCGAGACAGTTTTTTTGTACGTCATGCAAAAATCTAAACTGCGCTTAGCGGCCTGGCTATTTTCGCATGAAGTTCATTCGATGATACGACTCTGAAAATCTTCAATGTTGAAACACTGAAAAACTTTGCAAGAGGGCTGGGTGAATGCCCTTGACACCCTTTATGACTTATTCTTGATACCTGATAATCTTCTTTGTATGGGTGAGAGCCTAAATAAATACAACACGTTTCACAGCTACGAAAAATAGAATCTATGAAATGGTTCAAATAAAGAGGGTTTCATCAACTGAGAAGTTTATGATCTGCTTAATAAATAAGTGCAGTTTTATATTTCTCACCCAAAGCAAATAAAACGGAATTTTCACAATTGCATTGAAATGAAATACAATTTAGATGTCATAACATAACATAACATATTTTATGTTATATAACATAACATGACACATGCTATATAACATAACATGACACATGTTATATAACATAACATAACACGTGTTATAACATAACATAACATCTGTTATATAACATAACACAGCATATGTTATATAACATAACACATTTTATGTTATATAACATGACACATGTTATAACGTATTTTATGTTATATAACATAACACAACATACGTTATATTTTGTTATATAACATAACATATTTTCTGTTATATAACATAACATGTGTTTGTTATATAACATGTGTCATGTTATGTCATATAACATGACACATGTTATAACATATTTTATATTATATAACATATGTTATATAACATAAGATGACACATGTCATAACATATTTTGTTATATAATATAACAAAACATATTTTATGTTATATAACATAACATAACATGACACTTGTTATATAACATAACATATGTTATATAACATAACACAGCAACACAACATATGTTATATAACATAACATATTTTATTTTACATATGTTATAACATAACATATTTTGTGTCATGTTATTTTATGTTATATAACATAAGATAACATGTTATATAACATAACATGACACATTTTATAACATATTTTGTTATATAACATAACATAACATATTTTATGTTATATAACATAACATGTGTGTGTTATATAACATGACACATGTTGTAACATATTTTATATTATATAACATATGTTATATAACATAAGATGACACATGTCATAACATATTTTGTTATATAATATAACAAAACATATTTTATGTTATATAACATAACATAACATGACACATGCTATATAACATAACATGACACTTGTTATATAACATAACATATGTTATATAACATAACACAGCAACACAACATATGTTATATAACATAACATATTTTATTTTACATATGTTATAACATAACATATTTTGTGTCATGTTATTTTATGTTATATAACATAAGATAACATGTTATATAACATAACATGACACATTTTATAACATATTTTGTTATATAACATAACATAACATATTTTATGTTATATAACATAACATGTGTGTGTTATATAACATGACACATGTTGTAACATATTTTATGTTATACAGCATAACAACATAT